AAAGCTTGACGGTTGGAAGTGCAGCGAATTGTTTTGTCAGTCTTTTTATCGCAGAACATGCGGGGGTATTTGGTGGGACTTTTCTCCGAGCACGGGCTCTTGAGGAGGTCGCAGCCGGAGTTGTTGCCCCACGCCATCGGCTCCGCCATCCCCCACACGGCCTTGTAGTAGCCGAGGTCCTCAAACGCCGCCATCGTCAGCGCGGTGTAGTAGCCGGCGGTGAGCCCACCGAGGAGGCTCATCAGCTCGTCCTTCGCGTTGCGCGGTGACCAGTAGGGCTGCACAGCACCACCGTTTATCCTGAGCAGCTCCATGCCATTGAGGTCGGGACAGCCGTAGTGCGCCCTCGTTTTTTCCAGCGTAGCAGGCGACTTCACCACCGTCACAGGGTTACGGTTGCCGCGCACGTTAGGGACATCCTCCAACATGCCCCGCGCCCTCATCTGCTGCACGCCGAAGCCAAGCGCATGGGCGATGGCCTGCGCAGCAGCGCGGGCAGAGTGCATGACAGACAACTGTTGAAATGGCGAGACATGCAGGGCACCGGCAACTGGACGGCCGTTTGACTCAAAGGCACACGGGACCGCCCACGTCTCGTAACTCGCCCCGGCAGCCACGTAGAGCACCATGTCCGCATTGGCAACTCCCGTTGTTCGATGTTCAGCGGGGACAGTGAAGTGCTGGCACCGCCCCTGCGTGCCTGTGAACGCGGGAACAACCAACGGGCCCTCCACGCGCTGAACGAGCAGGCGCTCCGCGTGCAGCTGGACAGCCACAGGGACGACCGCGTCCATCAGGGTGCTCCTCCTTTCCTCGGTCAGAACGTACTGCTCTGCACAAACCTCAGTCCCGCCCTTAAAGTTCGGCTTGCTCTCACCCTCCTTCGTGCAGTACTTAGTTGGGTCCTCCAGGTCCTTCGTGGACACCTCGATGCGGATCGGCGCCCAGCCCTCGTTGCTCTTTCCTCCTGCCGCTACTGCTGCGGCGACGGTGTACGCCTGCGCCGCACCCTGCCCCCTCCGCGGCACCTCACGCACCACCGCAGCCGCCCGCCGGCCCCTCCTCGGCACCGTGTCGTCGAACACACGGCGGCCCGCAGCAGCGCGGCACACGGCGGCGCAGTGCATCACGAGCAGCAGGAGCAGCAGCAGTGGGAGAAACGGCGCGGCGCGGAGTCGGCGGTGCATGGCGTGAGAAAAGCGTGTGTGTGCCTGAGTTTGGCGAAGAATGACTGCAGTGGTGGTAGCGCGGCGCTTGTCTGTGGGAGGGGGAATGAGAAGACGAGGAGGGGGAATGAGAAGAGGAGGAGGGGGAATGAGAAGAGGAGGAGGAGGCAAAGCCACACATCCCCGCCGCGCCGCGGCACGACGGATCTTTGCGTCTCCGCCGCTGGGTATTTACTCCCGTCCGCCGCACGCACGGACGGCGCTGAGCAGGCAGAATCACTGGACAACAAAAAAACAGTCGATTGAAACCAAAAGAAAGTTGCCCTCCTACTCTGCAGAGTGCATCGCACACACACACACGGGCTGCAAAAAGTGTGCGGGCACCCGAAGCACACAAAAACAAACAGACCCCAGTGAAGTGCAGCCGAAGCGTGGGGGCGCGTCCACCGAGCAGTGGGGACGCGCAGCAACACGCGGGACGACCAGCACACACACACACACACTCCATCTCTCTCTCTGTTCCCGCACAGCCCAATCCAGGAAGAGAACGAGAGGTCGCCCACTGAAAGCAATGAAAACAAACAAACAATAAAAAGGACAAAAACAGTTACGGTGCTGTACCCATGCAGCCAAGCAGGACGGCAGCGGCTCGTCGGGTGCAAAAGAGGAAGAAAACCAACGGACCTGCATGAGTGGAGTTGTGTATAGTTATACGAGCACATTATGTGTGTGTGCCTCGTGGGGTACGGCGAGGGCGAGAAAGTCCGTGCAGGGGGACACACACACAAAGCGAGAGAGGAAGAAACAGAGAAGGGCGAGCTGTGTGTGTCTGTGCCCTCTCCGTCTCTCTATGTCTCTCACGCGGCCAGCATCGCAGCGGCAGCCGCACATGCAAGCAGAAGAAGCAGCGCAAGGGGGGAGGCGGAATGCGAGGCCACGGTGCTGCTGCCGTCGCTGTCGCCGGGCGCCGCCTTCGCTGCACTCGTCGAGTTGGTGGTAGTCGCCGCTTGAGCAGCCGCCCCCGCTGCCGGCTGAGTGGCTTCTCCTCTCTCACCGCTCGTTTCGGGTTTCTGCTTGGGTGCGGTGACTGCGGGCTGCTCCTGTTCTGCATCACCAGCTTCGTTTGTCCCCACGGAACTCCCCGGCGGCGACTGCGCCGCGGGGCTGCTGCCGCTGTCACCGCCAGTCGTCGTCGCTGGGTGACTGGCCTCAGTGGCGGTGTCCCCTGCTGCTGGCAGCGGCTCCTCCTCGTTGCTCGTCGGTGTGCCAGCGGCAGCTACACCTTGCTGTTGGGCTCCTGGGGCCGCTGCGGCAGCAGGCCCTGCAGAATCTTCGGCAATCGCCTCAGCCTTCTTTCCAGCCTGTTCGCCTGAAGTGCCACCGCCGCCCGAAGGGGCAGTGAGTTGAGCTGCATCCACCGCCCTTCCATCCGGTGTATTACTTGGGTCAGCTGGGACCGGCAGAGCTTCTTTGGGTTTAGCTTTCTCGTCACCGCCGTCTTTGCCATCACTTGGCACACTCTCCTCGACATCTTTTTCCTTCGAAGGAGCCGCCTCCGATGCCATCTCCTTCCCTG